GCAGTTTCGGAGCGGAATCATCCTCTCAATTGGCATTTGACGGACTTGGTTTTCATGTTATTTCAAGACTAATGAAATCATGGAATGTTGGACCCAAATTCTTCAACTATATCAAAACATTCATCCTGCATCGGCGGTTTATAGATAACGTTAACAATCATCTCTCTGATACTTTTCCACTAGTGAACAGCATTCCACAACGATCTCCTCTTTCTGTCACGGTTTTTCAGGACGCTTTCAATGAAATCAGTAAAATTCTTTGCCGTATACCGAGAATTGAATCTACGCGGATTATGTATACATTTTAACAAAAGAAAAAATAGCGCGAAGGCAGTAAACATCCGCGAATCTATTGTACGAGAGATCTCCACATGGGCAAACAAAAATCAAAAGAAATGCACATTTGATGAAAGCAGATATATGATACAGGAAATCGACTGATGCACATTAATGACTTACCAGTACAAAATGTGCAGACGCTCAATGTTGTCGGGCTCAGGTTTTCCAACAAATAACAAACAATTGGAAGACATACTGTCTTCGGTTAAAAAATTCCATTTTAGCAAGCGTGAATTTTATACAATACGTTGCTTGGAAAAGCCGTGCGCGCATTAACACTATTGCTTATCATACCCGAATGGTTGATTTAAGCAAGATTGACTACGGTTTGATAATTTATGACAATAGCTGCAAATCTAATATCAACGTCCTTAAACAGGTCTATCATCAAGTTCTTAGAGCATATTGCTACGCCTTTCGGACGACGTCCATTAACAATATCGTAATTGAAAATGGTCTCCCATCTTTAGAAAATAGACTTTATGAATTACAAGCTGTAATCGTCCCCAAGCTTATTAATTCAAACAAATCTATTTTCGGCGAAGATATGAAAAAGATTGCTATTGCCAAGAAAAGAAGTCGTCATTCAATTGCGGTATAGTTTGTATGGCGCAAAGGAATTTTGCGCAACTTTCGTCTTAAACCTCTATGAGTTTTGAAAGACTATCCTTTTCACGTTTCGTCCTCTATGTACAAGAAAGAAGACATTCCAAATTACGTTTTCAGGAATCTAATTGCTGGAAAAATCCCAATACTGGACAGTGACGTTTGGAATCTTTTATATACAGATGGCTCTAAATCCCCCTGCCACCAGCTTGTGCTGTAGTAGGCGGTTCAGGACATCTTCTTCTTAAACATATACTTCACGAAAGTGCTTCAACTATCGCAACCGAAGCGAGAGCTATCCTTTACGCTACGAACCTTTCTCATAAAGTTAAACTCAACACTGTCTTTGTTACTGATAAAATGCTTTGGCTTTATCGTGTGCGAAGTCATATCGGCTTATTGGGAAATGAGCTAGCTGATCGAGCAGCGAAGTCTGCTGCCTCTGCACCTCTAATTATGGTGGATGTCATGGGCCTTCAAAGATACATTAGAAGAAAAGTTAAAGAGAGAATTATAGAAGGAAAGCTACAATACTATTATCAGCACTATTCTTCTATTAACCCTCAATTAATTCCATCTTCATATCCCACAAATATTAAGGAAGTCAAGATCAAAACATTTTCGAAAATCCGTCTTGGCGATAATATGTAATGTTCGTTTCTAAAATATAGCCGATAGTTTGTGTTGCTACTGCTCAATATCTTTTCTCTTTTTGATCTAAGAATTTATTTCATTAGCCTCAAGTTGTGATAATAATAATAACTTTTTAAGAAAAAAAAAGAAGAAATAAAAACTCATTGAAATCGTAGTAGCTTCCAACCATCGCCTTAAGTTAAATCGATCTTATTTTAATTAAGAAATTTATGGTTACCGAACCATTCCAAAATTACTCGACGCATTTGTGTATTGCGTGGGAACTTGATGTCTTTTCTTCCCCGAACGAAGTTTAATAACCACGTTTAATACGGAAGTTTAATAGGACGGTCTATTGATCGCAGCGGACTCGTAACACAAAGGACACAATCCAGCATTATCTTGCTCAATGTGGCCTAAGCCCGAACGAAGACATTCTTATATACAATTACTTGAAAAGCTTTCATTAAGGATACTCCGCAAGCGAATTATAAAGTTGCCATAATCCTGACAATCGTAACGACCAGGTCGAATCTCTAGTCTACACATAACTTCAGATATACAGTTATAACATACTCGGAATTTGTCTGGGATTTGTTAAATTACAATTACGTGAATTTGATCGTTTGAATTTGAAATTGGTCCCCAAGCAATGTATGTAATATTGGTTTAGTTGCGTCTGGTCGGAAACAATATCTTACCGTGGATTAAGACGGTCTGAAATTGATCAACCTTCCGACTTCTCATAAAAGAAGACCTGCTCTTGATGTCACCTTTGTTTTTAAACTGAGAAATGGCAAAGCTCACAAGTAGCATTCTTTGACGAACACCACATAGCGTGTGCCAGTGCTTTGCTTTAAAAGATTGTCTGAAACGACAGCTTAATGAAATACACAAAAATGACTTTTTAAAGTTAACTGAGAAAAGTTGGAATTTTAGAAAAAAATTTTAATTATAAATTTTTTTACAACTATTTAAAAAAAGCCTTAAGAGAAAAAAAGGGAAAACCAAAACCTTATTTTATAATACTTGGTATTAGTTTGTGTACGATATTTTATAATGAAATAAAGCGAAAATAATAGAACGTGTATATTGTATGCATCCCATATACTACAGATTAATCATATTTTAAAGTGACTTAACGTCAATAATAACGCAAGCATGAAAGATTCTTAATATACGTTGCCTCATTTTCATACATGAATTATTATGAACGATAATCGGACCTTTGATCTGTTTTGCTAAATTTATGACGGAAGATTTATACAGCGAAAGCTTAAGAGCAAAGTTGAAAATAATCAAATCACTAAAACCATAGTATTGAAAACTATAACACCTAAGAGAAAGACAAAAATGATTAATTTCTAGATAAATGTCAGTGAGGTTTATATGCCTGATTTGTAATACCCGAACTCAACCTGATGAGAATGAGAAAAAAGCTTGAATGCAGACAAGCAGATATACAGATTGTATGCATGTAATTCAGTTAGAATGTTCGCGCTTTTCAGAAACTTTGTATGTCTTATTGGATCTTCGATATAAAATATTTTAACAACGGACCATTATTGGAAACTCTATACACACAAATGTTATCACGAAATGCATGCTTGCCTACTTTCAGGCATTTCAGACACCCTTTTTTTCTTTTTTTTTCTTTATGTCACCTACACAAGTGTACTTAAAAATTGTTTTCTATCATCACTGCATCATGTATTATTCATATGTAGTAAATATGTTTGCATACATTTATAAAAATGAATATTTTCGTAGAAACACATTTACGCTTTTGATATATTAGTTAGGTATTTGTCTATTTAACTCAAAACATATTGTTTGTGCTCAACGTTTATATTATATACAAACAAAACGTTTCAAATACAGTTCTAATATATATATATATCTATATATATATCTATATATATATATATAGATAGATATTATTTATATATAAAATAAACTTTTATTTATTTTTTCGTTGATATTCATAAATTTTTTTACGGTATCAATTTGCATGCCTTTACTAAATCATGTAAAAGAAGAATATATACATTTTTACATGAAATGTTGAAATTATTTCAATCCAATATTAATAGTAGGTTTTTTTTTCGTTCTATATATGCTATGAAAAGGCTTACGGTATTTAATTTGTAGCGTAGTTAACATATGAACCCATAAGATTCAGATTTCTTAACCTATCTGTGAATTATTGTTTCAGTGTTACAAGTAGTTGCTTTATTAATTAATTAGACAATCAGTGGTTTGAATATCATAAAAGTCGTGTCATTTAAACGACTGTGAATCGTAGAGAAATCGTTTCACCGAAATGATACGAAAATTTTAATAAGAATCCCTTGCGTGTTAGATCTTTCTGAAGATAACAGTCCTAGAACTTATCGAGCAATACGTTACATACAGTGTAATTATTATACTCGTATATAAATTTTCTTCATTCAAATTTTTCGTTAAGAGATATTATAATTTTCAATATGTGACCGATGATTTATAACAGATAGTGATGAGAAACTAGGCTCACGTACTACTCACTATGAACATGTATTTGAATTATATAGTAATCTCTAAAAGATATCTCAAAATTTGTACCTATGCTCCTCGTTAGCTTCACAACATATAAGAAGTGTATGCAAAAAGTTAATACAACAACTTTCAATTCCCAATCGATCAAATCAAATAATTTGTTAGGGCGTATCAAAATTTACAATTCGTCCGTATATCAATGTTTAAGGATTCCCACAAAATTAATTAAACAACGTTTAATTAAATATTCGTTCTTTTTTTTTTTAAAACTATTTTTATGGTCGAAATATTTTATGCTGCTTTTTTTTTTCTTTTACTGTTGGATATTTAAAAAGTACGCTTATGTCAATATCAGTTCCAACATCCTCCAATTTCACACCAACTTCCACCGCAAAAACAATTTCCGATACATGGATTTTGTTACTAATTTTCTCTTCTTTCTTTTTTTTTTCTATTTTTCCTACTACAGGAGTATATGCATATATAAATGTATGTATAAATGTATATGTATATATGTATATACGATATATATATATATATATATATATATATATATGTATATATATTTGTCGTTGAGGACATCAGTGTGTGTGCGATGTAGATAAATTTATTACTTAATCACATATGTAGAATATGTATAGGGATCTGTGTTTTTAATATTCGATAGTTGAACATATTTGACTATTTTGTACCAATTACTTGTCTGCTAAAATATTTAGCAAATATCAGAAACCACAGTGATAGCATTTGAGCATTAGGTTAAAAAAAAGGAAGCTTTTTGTCTAAATTCAAAAAAAAAAAAGGGAGGAAAGAATTTAAAACAATAGCCGGTTTATTTAATTATATTTCATTTTTCTATTTCTATTTTTATTTCGTTTCCTTTAAAGATGGACCACAAACACAGCCGCCTAGATTTACAACACAACCTTCGTCATCCGGATCTATAGTTAGCGAAGGACGCACAAAAATTCTTCAGTGTCATGCCTTAGGTAAGTTATAGACTAAATATTTGCCGCAGATCGACTTAGACATAAATATTATATAATAAACGAATTTGTACGCCTGCGGTGCCGTGTCGACGACATCCAACTCAAAATTGTCTCAATAATCGATATGCGAAATAGGGGTCACCTCACAAAAATATGAATTATTGTGTACGTCGATTCGATTATTTCAACAAGATATTCAGCTGTTCGCTTATTCGGGCGATTATAGCGACTTAACGTTAACAATAAGGCAGGTAAAAAAAACTTCATAGATAAACTATTTACAATTGCTGAACCGACTGAAATAGTGCATTCTAGGGGCAACATCTTTCGATAGGTCCCCACCTTCGATATCTTTGCGAAGGCACATCTTCAACAATATTAACTTTCCGTGTTTGACACGCACCTTGTAAAGTTTTTTTTTTTTTTTGTGAACAGTTATTTAACACGCCTTGTTAGAATAGGTATACACAAAGTGTCGGCATTTTCAAATCCACTTTATGTAAGAAATAATATAGAAATAATTGAAATATGCGTTAATGACTAAGACCAGTTTTGGTGCAGACCGATTTATTATTATACCGATCAATTTAGAACCATTTTTTGAATCGATTTAAATTTAATTACTTTTCCGACCACTCCCCATACAGGGGCTTGCTTTCAAAAAGCCGTTAAGTGAAATTAAAAAACAACCATTTTTACAATTTCTCCAAAAAAAAAAAAAAAATTACTGAATTATAGTATTTCGCTAAGCTAAATTAACGTGGAAAATTTAAATGGCACAAGGCAATGCTTTGAACACTCCCTCATATTAAAAATCCTATTAAAAGTAAGCCTTTTTCTGGCGACGAAATCAAACTTTCTATGTTTCTTGATGAAAATTGATTCGTACAGAAATTTATTTAAAATTAAAAGGATTCTCATTAAAATTAATTCTCGTTAAAAATAAAAGGATTCTCATGAAGAGGAGGCTCTACACGGTAAATAAGCCTAATTTTATTAAGAGAATTTGAAAAGGAAATTGATTTTGCTAAATTTGAAACGCATCACCTCTGCCCGCTTCCTTGCCGGGCGTCTGATGTAACGTAATTCTTAACGTTGAAGCAAGATATCATTTTTGATATTTTATTAAGAAAATAATTGAACAATTGCTTTAAATGAAATGGTCCGGAGAAATCGAAGACCGGCTTTAATCGATTATAATGTTTTTATTGGTTGTATATTCGATTCAGAAAAAGTTAACGAGACTCCTATACGTTTGCGTCTCTCTTTTAAAGACTCGGGCGTAATGTTGTAATTCGTCTGACATCTATTCATATTTATGCACTGTCTATCCAAAGGTTTGTTATCTTCTACTTTAATAAGTAATCGGACACATGCATGCGTGCACATGTGTATATATGTACGTACATTAATCGAAATTATATTTGTACTGTACTTTTTATGAGATGTGCTGCAACAGTACCTGATGGACATAAGAGGAAATTTACACTATCTACTAAGAAGAGAAAATGTTAAACTAAAATTCGATTTACATATAAAAGGATTGTTCGAATTTTATTAATTACGCATAAGAGCCTCTCCGATGAACCTTACACTTACACAACTAAACGACGAATTATATTTTTACAAAAAACATTTGAACTTTTCGTTATTTTTATTTTAATTCAAAATTAATTTACATTTCGCTTGGAAGTGTTTGTCTTCGCCATCAATATTATCATTGACTGCATTTACCATCTCGTATCATTCTCTTGCAGTAGATAATTGTGATGAATTTAACAACTGCTGAGATATTGTAAAACGATACCAAACATTTCTTCGAACATAATGAACTAGAAAAATAATAATATTTTTATGGGGTTTCCTTTTCACAGTTCTCTTTCTCTCGTTCGTTTTCTTCTTCACCCTTTCCCTCCATAGCTTTGTCATTTGTATTCTTAGAGCTCACGCCAGTTTATTTGGAAACGTCTTAAGGTGTGCGTGTATATGGTTTAAGGTATATTATGTAACGCGTCCAATTTCATCCATGTGTCAGGTTTTAGATATCAACCAAACGAGAAACCAAACAATCATTTTTACTGCTGTTGTTACTCATGCTTTTTTCGTTGCTGTTGTTGTTGTTATTATTATTATTATTATTATATTCATTATTATTATTGTTGTTGCTTGTGCTGGTCAAACTAAGTTAACGTTTCTTGACACTTGAAAGCATTAATATAGAGAGAGAAAAACACAGAGAAAGAGAGAGAGAGAGAGAGAAAATTTCAAGTTAACGTTGTGTACCTGTATCCATTTTCTAAGAGAATTTTCGATTTGTTCGGCAAAAGACTTTCAACTTTTGTTTTTTATGTATCTATACAAAGAATTAGAATATACACGCATTCACACGTGCGTAATGTATATATATATATGTATATGCACTGCAATGCAAATGTAATATATATTTTGGATATTTGCTGATAGGAGGCGCAATACAAATATCTTGTGATCTTGTTTACCGTCTAAAAGTTGAACACAATAAAGAAATTGAAGTAATATTCGAAAATTTCTAAAATGGTCATCGGTTCTCTCACATCCCTTAAGCCGAATTGATGAATAATTAAACCATAACTCCGTTTCTTTTAAGGCATTTTTTTAATAGCAGAGTATCATAAAATGCTTCATGTTTTTTATCGGGTTTTTCGTAACGAATTTAAATATGGTTTACAAATTTTGCGCCAATAACTTCACAGCATTAGTAATAATATTAACAAACTAAGAAATCACGAAAAAGAGGATTGATTGTCTCTCTGATGGCATTCTCATAATCAAATTTCTTTCTCTCCTTTTTTTCTGTAGCGCAGTAGTGTCTCTCATAATTTCGACGCGATTTCTGCAGTGTTGTGTTTTAAGTTTTATTAAATGGCTGTTCTGACTAGTTTTCTTATACGGCAAGGTGAATGCCGCAAAAACAGTAACAGCAACCAAAATGAAATCAATTGAACGGTACTTTATTTAGAACGTTATTTAAATTAAAAAAAAAAAATGTCACTGAAACCGAAAACGAAAGACTTTCAAAGCCAAAAGTATCAAGATCGTAAAAGACGAGCTAAAGAAATTTAAGAACATTTTAACTTTTACAAGCACACAAACTAACATATGTACTCGTATGAATGTATGCACATGCATATATGTATATCTACAGTGCTGAGTAGTGCTAAAGAAGCAAACTTTCGATTAAAGCGTTTTATTCTTTCTGTTAAAAAAAAAATTAAGAAACTGAACGAACGAACTGTAATCGACGCGTTCGACGTGAGTTTGATATAAAAGTTTCTTTCATTACCTTTTTGTGGCATCTTCATCGAACATCATCTCTAATGATACGATTCCTTCGATGGATCTGTAGCAAATTACTGCGTGTGTTTGAAACTAAGTATTAGAGATTACGGGTTTCTTTCAAACAAAATTTGTTTCAAAAATACTTCGACAATTAAAAAGTTAAATTAATCCTTATAAAATCAATCAACTGATCTCATTGCTCGTAGACTACAATAAAGCTAGCGATATATTGTAGAGAAAATGGAATAAGGCGGCTGTGCTTACTCACGCCTTTTATAGAGCAACGATATTTTTTTTTTTTTTTATTTTAATAAAGCTGGTGGGTATTAATAATTTCACAGTAAGAGATTTTCCGATGCAAAGGTCATCAGTAGACATTATTTCAAAGTGCTGAGGAACTCTTTTCCTCTAATTGTGCACATTAGAACAGTGCAACATCACGAAACTTTTATGTTTAAATAATATTTTTTTTATTTATTATACCACAAGCATGTAACAGTAAATTGTTGCTTTAATATTGCACAATACTGTATATATATATATGAGTACAATAGCTTGTTTTTCTTCTACTTGCGTTTCATTCTCGTTTGCTTTGAAAATTTCTCATTGATAAGTCTTCTTGTGTTAGTGAACTCGCACCGAAGGGCTGAATAAGTGGCTATTGGACAGACAAAGTTTGCTCTCTTTAGTGCTCAAGTGCATTTACAAATAAACTTATTAAGTAAACGTTCGCTTTGAAAGTAATTCACCTGACATTCTAAAGACCAGCATTTTTGCAATCTTGTTCTTTTTTTCATTCTTGTTATTGTCGTTTTTAGTTATAAAAGTCTTCTTTCTAATCCTTAAATTTAAAAATTCAAAATCTATCTTGCTTTACCTTCGTCTTTAGGCATTCAGTGTAAGTAGCTAAAGTTGAATTTCTCAATGATTCCAACCCCATAAGCACGCAGAGCGATTTGTGGTCCGCTTGAAAGTGTTGGCTATCAATTTACTTAAATTATGATACCTTCGTAAAAAATTTATTAAATGAAAAGGCAAACATAGCAAAAAAAACCAAATGTATGATCCAAAGCAAAGAACGATTACAGACACATCTACCATGAATAAAATACTAAAAGATCTTTTACCAAATGGAATTGTTTCTTTAAAGGGAAACCAATTAGTTTCGAAAAATATGCGAAAAGACAATACTAAAACTTAAAAAAAAATTTTGAAAAACTTTAGAAAATATGTAAGTGAAAACTTAATATGAATTAATACATTTATGAAATGGAAATACTTGAAATTTTGGGTTCGCTTATTAAGGTTCTCACGTAATTTGCAAGACCATATTAGACAAGATAGTGAATAAGTTTTTGCCGATTTCGAAAAGATAATAAAACGATTACTGAAGAATATATGCATACTTAGGGCAACGCGATTATTTACTTACACGTTAAATTCAGCGAAAATAAATTAAGAGCCGATTTCAAATAACTTAAAATATAATAATAATTAAATAATAATTCATGTACAAATAAATAAGAAAGAAAAAAAAACATGTACACAGCTTGCACAGAGGTACAGCCGCAACCAGTAGAGATCCAAGTTGCAAGCGAATCCCTAAGCCAATGCAAATATGCAAAAGCTTGGCAACCGATACACAAACCACACGAGTTAATTATACAACCATAATGAGATGT